TACCTCCATAATTCAAATAAGCAAAACTGCTCAATCAACAAAATAACCACAGCTCTGATACCACTATGATGGGAAGTAACACAAAATAACTTCACAACAAAAACTTCCCCACTTGAATGAATCTATTAGGAGTAACAATGAGTAACAAATTCAAGCCTTGATATGGAATGCTATTAGGGAGATAAACAATATAAGTCGGAACTCAACCACAATTGTGCACCGACACCATAACCTCCTAACACAGCATACTCCCTCCCCCATGCCATAACACTACACTCAAAAATAACGTTCACCACACGAACACAAATTCTTTTTACGTGCGAAAAACTCCTCCGGTGTGCAAGGATTAAAAACCATGCAGTAACCTCTCCTCCAGCCAAGAAATAAAGTTCACTAAGTTCACTATCACAAATATTGTCTTACAAATTACAACAAGCTACAACCACAAAACATGTAGCTATACCACAAACAAATGTGTAGCAACACAATAAAGTGATCACAAAACACAGCTACTGTTCTAAATACATTTAAAAATGTTCTACTCATCCAAAAATTAAACTGATCAGCCAAAATCAAGAATTGGATGTTAGGAACATGCTCACCAAAAATCAGCCCAATCCGACAAAGGGTGACTACCGAAAACGCTGAAGAAGGTGAAGTTATGCAGAGCTGGAAGCAGAACAGGACAGCTTTGGATTCAGAGCCATAACTCAATCTCTGAACTCCAAATCAAAATCCCTTTGGTGAGAATAAAGAACAGAGAGTAAAGAACAACATTCCCAAACATCACAAAGATCCAACGGTTGGAACTTCGGGAATCTCCAGAACACAATGGCTGGTGCTGGATGGGGCTGTGCAGAAAAAATCCCTCTCCTCTCCTCTTCTTTTCAATCTCCAGAACACAATGGCTGGTGCTGGATGGGGCTGTGCAGAAAAAATCCCTCTCCTCTCCTCTTCTTTTCTGTTTTTCTCACACGGTTTTTGGATGTGTGAATCAATCAAATAGTAGCCAAAAATATCATCAATATGGCTGTTAGTTGAGGGGCAAAATTGTAAAATAATAATTAGTTTAATGGATTTCAAAATATGGGTTTTTACCACATAGGAAGGGAACCCAAACCCAACATCACACATATAAATTAAGTACTTTAAATCAATAAATCTAACAAAGTCCAAACCCGTATAGCTCTATATCGAATGTATAATATTTCAAATGAAAGATGAATAACATAAAAATGAGTACTTATATTTTGATATTTGATATTTATAATTTAAAAAAACAATCAAATCTTTATAATTATATATGTCATTATTTTTTATTATAAAATTATTTGCAAAAAAAAAAAAAGAAAAAAAACCAATGGTTCGGTCCAATTTTACAACACTGGACTTAACGTTGTTAATGTTTATAGTTAAATAAGTCTAAATGTCACTATAAATAATAGTACGAGGACTTCAGTGTGTTGGACAACAGTTTTTTAAGTAGCTCGCTAACTACTGTTTTTTATAATGTTCAGTAACATAATGTTTGAACTAGCTTTTAAATGTTAAGATAGCGTTTTATCAAAAGTTAACTCATATAACATTTAGCTTTTAGTGTTTATGAAAAACTACTCAAACAGCTAACAGCTAAACGCTACTAAAATAGCTAACAGCTACTAAAACAATTAATTTTGTCGAACAGACCTTTAATGTGGACAAATAAAACTCTAAGGGCTCAATAGCTACAACTTGAAAAGTTTAGGAACTTCTTAATGTATTTTACCAACTTGTTTACTTTGATATTCATTTTTAGGGGTGAGCACGGTTTGACTTGGTGCAGTTAGAAAAAATTTTCGAACCAAATTAAAAATTTCAGACCGCAATAAAGTAGTTTGGTGCATTTTGGTTTGCAGTTTGATATCATTAAAATAATTTAATAACTGTTTTAATTATAATTAAACAACATGATGAATTCATATATAATATGTAATATATAACAAAAGAAAAAAAAATTATAACTAGCAAAAAGGTGCTCAATTATTTGATAACATAAAGTATAACATATAACATATTAATTTCTGCAATTCAAATTTATAAAAATATAAGATTACATGTAAGTAATATTCATGATCCATCAACGCGTAATCCCTTAACACATGAAAAACGTTGCAAGACCAATTCTGCTGCAAAAGACCTCTAATGGCAATGACCAATTGTTGTACAGCACCACTAGATGAAAATCGATGAGTTGAACAACTTCCATATTATCGCACTCCACCACAAGCTGAGAGAAGTGCATCTGCCAAGCCAACTTCAAGCCTTCAAGGTTTTAGATGTCTATAAATATACATTGCATACGGTCTAATCTTCACTTTTTAATTCCCTAGCCAATATACAGGTTGCTGCCATGATGGAGAAGGTAATGTAAAGTTCTAATATTTTAAGTTTCTTTTTTTTATTTTCCTTTTCTTTTAGAACATTATTCTCTTTTGAGACGAGTAGTTTGGCATTATTCTCCCTCAAGTGAATATTATTCTCTTTTAAGACGAGTGGTTTGATATTATTCTCTCTTGAGTGAAGTCGAAGGTTTAATCTTTATGGATAAAATAAATACTTCAAGCACTTTACTCATCATAGACCAACCCAATGCGATGCAGGTAGGATTTAGTCTGATGCAGTGGAGATACCAAAAATAATATGATATATGAGAGCCCTCACCAAAGCCGCTTCGTCCTATGGTTTCTACAGACGTGCTATGAATGATAGACCAACCCAATGCGATGAATCATCAATAGTTGATTGCATATGGTTTCACTCGCACAGGCCTCTTTAATATCTACCTTCATGAGTTTGATGAAAATGGAGATAAAAAAAATTAACAAATTCATTTCTCATGTCCATTGTTTTTCTTTTTTTCCTAAATATTTACTATGAAATTTATAAATTATCGGATATTGCTATTTACATATAAGAAAATGTGATTAATTTCATTGTATTATAAATAGACATGTAATAATTTCAAAGGCAATAGGATAATTAGTAACCCAAAAAGTTAACATGCTGAATTCTGCACTTGATCGCATCGAGTTATGAAGTCAGTATTTGAAGAGAGATAACGTAGTAGATGATCAGGAGGTAAAAGTGCATGATAAATATATAAATAAGTAAATAGTAATGTTTACTAAAAATTAAGGTGTGATACAAGAAGTTTGTTAAAAAAAAAAAAAAAAAAAAAAACACGTTTCTAACATACATTATTTGGAAATTGCACATGCATTTGGAGGGAAGTGCATTTGTTAAAAAAAAAAAAAAAAAACCACGTTTCTAAATACATTATTTGGAAATGCACATGCAATTTGGAGGGAAGTGCAAATTGAGGGAACAAAGAATAGAGGGAAAGAAAGAACTGTGTTTTATTTCCAAAATCAATCAAAGACGTGTAAGACTTTTTCTTGTGAGCAAAAAGAGCTTTATGCCATAGTTTGATTTTAAAATAGAATCAAATCAAAATCAGGTCGGTTTAAATTAAAATTAAATCATGATGAATAGTTTTCGATTTCAAACTATAATTGAAACTATGACATCATGATAAATTTTACTTTCTATTTTTTTTAATCAAAACTAATAGTCTGGAACCACGAAACAAGAAAAAAGAATTGTAAAATTAAAGATTATAAATGAAATTCTCAATTTATTTTCTATTTTTTATTAATTTTTAAAATAAATTTTAGATTTTTATTAATCATAGTATTATTGTTATTATTATTTATTCATAATATCAATCTAAAAGAATTAAAAATAAAAATTGAAAAAAAAAATATAGTTTCAGTTCCAAATCAGAATCAAACCAAAATCTATAGTCACTAAAACTATCTTTGAAACCGTTTAAGAATAATTGGATTCCAATTTCACATTTTTTAGGAGTCAAAACCGTCGATTCCGAAATCAAATTTAATAGTTTCGAAATTGTAGTCATGTCTATTTTTAATAGACATGGATAAAGTTGATCCCTCAATCATTATTCTAACATATCTTTATATTAATATTAAAAATGATTTATGCTATTCCATTAGAATTAAAATTACTCATATTAAATTATTTAGTGAAGCTAATTAAAAGACAATAAAAATTATATAGTTAGATAATATTGGTGGTGGCAACAATAATGACTTTGTTATTTAAATATCTGATTAATATAGCAGCGGTAATATATTTGTTGATAGAGATACACGTCAAATAGAACACATAAAAAGTAGTTTAAATAGTAAGATACATTTGAATTTAGTAAGATAATTCGGCAAAGTTTAGTGCATCGGGATATAGCCACCGACCTTATATTAGACTTATACCTGAAAATCATCATTAAAAAACTAGGAATTAATATAATAAAAAATTACAAAGATTATTTTATTTAAAACAAAAGGAAATAATATTATAATTTGGTACAACTTATAGAAGTGAGTATTCGGTTAACTAAACTGAATCAAGCCAAATTAGCTCGATTTCAGTTTAGTTGAATATATACTTTTACAGTATTGAAATTCAAAATCAAATAGTATAATAACTTATCCAAACTAAATTAAATCAATTTGATTCGGTTTGGATTCAGTTATTTCAACCCAATTAGTTATTTTGGATGTAAAATAAATTCGATTAATTATATATAGTAACCAAATCAAAACCCAAAACCAAATGATTTTATATACTCAAACCAATCGGTAATCAAATTTTTAAAAGAATTATTTGAATCCAACCGAATTGAATCGATTTGATTCGATTCGATTCTCGGTTAGAGACCGAGAATTGATGACCCCTAACCACTCAGCCTACTACCGTTAAAAAAACCGAAATTCAATTAATGCAATCTGAAGGAAAATGTAGATGGGAGGGATACAAAGAATGGAGTGTTTGTTACTTCAAAAATAATCAAATTAAGATGATAATTTGGGACCACCCATCCTACTTTCATGAGAGGAATGAGCAGTAGAAGGAGAAAAATGGACCTATATATATGTGTATACATTCCTAGAAATTCTTGGAAGAACAGAACAGGAGGATAAGAAGACAAAAGCCATGGAACCTGCAGAACCTAAAACGCTTGGAAGCTCTCTTATAGTGCCTAGCGTGCAGGAGCTAGCAAAAGAACCATTGACAGATCTCCCGCCTCGATATTTGCGACCTGATATAGGTTCTCCAATCATATCTAGCATCCAGGTTCCAGTGATTGACATGTCAAAGTTATTTTCTCAAGAATTCATGGATATTGAGCTCGATAAGTTCCACCATGCATGCAAAGACTGGGGTTTCTTCCAGGTAATTAAAAATTTTATTATATTATATTATCTATGTTTAATTTCTAAATTACTACTACCAGAAAGATAATCGATATGTTTTGCAGCTGATAAATCATGGAGTGAGCAGTTCATTAGTGGAAAAATTGAAGGTGGAAATTCAAGAGTTCTTCAATCTCCCAATGGATGAGAAGAAAAAATATTGGCAAGTACCAGGAGAAATGGAAGGATTTGGACAGGCTTTTGTTGTGTCTGAGGAGCAAAAGCTTGATTGGGGAGATATATTCTACATGGTCACTCTCCCACCTAATATGAGGAAACCTCATTTGTTCCCAAAGCTCCCTCTCCCATTCAGGTGTCTCTCTCTTTCTCTCTCACACAAATTCTGAAATACCTTAAAAGTTTCGGATTGCAAAAAGCTTATTTAAGTGAAAGCTTAATTAACAAAAAGGAATAAAGAAAATATCTGAGCTAATTTAGTCGGTTTCATAAAGATCTGTGTTTGTATGCAGAGAAACTTTGGAAGCTTATTCAGCAGAAACAAAAAATCTTTCCATGAAAATCCTCTACTTCATGGCACAAGCTCTGGGAATGAAACCTGAAGAAATAAAAGAACTATTTGAAGAAGGATTGCAGCAAATGAGAATGAATTACTATCCTCCATGCCCACAACCAGAGCTAGCTATGGGTCTCAACTCACACTCTGATCCAAATGGCCTTACGGTCCTCCTTCAGGTTAATGAAGTGGAAGGGTTACAGATAAAGAAAGATGGCAAGTGGGTTTCTGTTAAACCTCTCCCAAAAGCATTTATCATCAATATTGGTGATATGGTAGAGGTAATAATAAATAAAATGGCCTCAAAGATTTACAAAAAGAAAGTTAATTGATCTTGGCCTAAGCAAGTTTTGATTTATTGTTGTTATTATTCTTTAATCTCTGTAGATTTTTACTAACGGAATCTACAGAAGTATTGAGCATAGAGCAGCTGTAAACTCAGTTAAAGAGAGAATTTCCATTGCTACTTTTTATAGTGCTAAGCTAGATGGAGAAATGGGTCCAGCACCAAGCCTTGTTACCCAAGAGAGGCCTGCTTTATTTAGGAAATTTGGTGTTGAAGATTACATGAAGGGATTTTTTTCAAAAGAACTCGTCGGAAAATCATTCATTGATGAAACGAGAATTCAAAATGAAGAAGCTAAAAACAACTGATAGATTGATGCCTATTTTAGTTTAATAATAACCAAATCATATTGAAAAACAATAAATAAATTATGTTATTCTGCGTTTTTCCTCTTTCTTTTTCCTTTCTTTCTCAATTGAAGTATCTTGTTCTGTTCAGTATAAGAAATGTGAGGTTATCTGATTCCTCATCAGCAGTTTCACAATACATATAGTGAAAAAAAAATAAATGGATTATGTTATTATGTGCTGTTTCATTTTCTCTTTTTCCTTTCTTTATCAGTTGAAGTATCTTACTACGTTCTGCTCATGTGAGGTTATTTCTGCTTACTCATCATGCAGTTTCACAATATATAGATATTTATATATATATTCTGTGAGGTTATTTCCTGCTTACTATCATGCACGTTTCACAATATATAGATATTTATATATATATATATATATATATATTATATATATACAATCTTTCACTTTGTTCCATTCTCTTTGGTGACGGAATAGCGGCTGGCCTTTCACTTTGTCCATTCTCTGTTGGAGACGGAATAGCGGCTGGAGGCAAGTGTTCAACATCCGGTCGCAGCAAGAATATATACAATCTTTCACTTTGTCCATTCTCTTTGGTGGACGGATAGCGCTGGCTTTCACTTTGTCCATTCTCTTTGGAGGACGGATAGCGCTGGAGCAAGTGTTCAACATCCGGTCCAGCAAGACTGGTGCATCTGGATTCTTCGTGGGTATCTGAGCAGCAATCTCAACCGGAGAAAGCCACAATCCATCATTTGTGGCTGTGGTGACGATGTTAATAATGTTAAGTTCAACGGCTGATTTTAGAACCATCGGAAGAACTGCAGCATTTCTGAGTTAGACTAATATTATAATATTTGTCACACAACAAAAAGATCGTATCATATTAATAAAACTTGTTTAAATTAGAGAAACAAGAATTTAATATGAATCAAGTTACATCTAATTCGTGTTAAAATATAACAATTTCTGCATATAGTAAGTCGTTTGAGAGTAGTTTTTTTTTTCATAAATATTTGTCACTTTATAAATATTAAGAAATAATTAAAGAACTTTTTCCATTTTACCATTATACATATTAAACATATTATAATTTTCTAAAACTATCTTTAATCAAATTAATCATGGCACGCTAAGACCGTAGTCTAGTAATACATACATTTACGACGTGATAATAAAATTCAGGTTCGAATCTCTCTCCCAATATTTTAAAAAAAAAAAATCAAATTAATGATGTGAGATAAAGGTTATCTTAACCAAATTAATCAACATGTTATTTTAGTTTAGTTGTAAAATAATGGTATGACATATTACTAAAATAATTGTTTTTCATTCTGACTTTAAAAAATAAGATAAGTTTTTGGGAGAACAAAAATAAAGTGAATTTGTTTATAAAGTGAACAAATTTAATGGGAAAAAAAAAATTGTATGGAAAAATTTAGCAGTAGGGCTGGGCAGGGAGTTAAGCACAAGGCCATTTACTTTTCCAGGCGCCTTCCAAGCTCGACCTCCGCGGGATCGAGAGGTTCTTTCGACCTCCCGTGGGATCGAACATTGCGGCTACTACAGCCGCTGAACCCAACGTCTGCGGGATCGAACAGTTATTTCAACCTCCCTTCCGATCAAACATTGCAGCTACTACAACGGGTGAACCCAAGGACGATAGGTTAGTGAAAAAATTTTACTCTATTCATTCCAGTTTAATAATAAACATTTTAACTTTTCCACTTTAAGATTAGTTAAAATTTATTAAGATAAATTCCACACGTCCTAATCATAAAAATTTTAAAACTATTAAGCAACAGTCTTAAGCACTATTTTAAATATCTATTTCTTTTTTTCTTGAAAGAACAATTTCAATCTGAACAATATCATACAGACCCTAAAAGATAAATGTATGTACATCAAGTGCCATGAGATACAGCTATGGCTTCACCAGACTATTCAATCATCCCAGAAAAATGATCTGAAAAGACAACTAAAGAGAGAGGAGGACATCAAACTCAGGTCAATGGAACAATAAACACTCTCACAGAGAGAGAGAGAGAGAGAGAGAGAGAGAATAATAAAGAAAAAATAGATAACAAATGTAAAAACATCCTTTCACTTTCACTATAAACATGTTAGGACAGTTTATCCATTTTACAACATCGCTGAGAAACATCAGCCTCTGCTAATGCCTTCAAAAATAAGTAATATATTCAGTTGAAACTCCTGCAGAATATGGAGCACCCATTGTTGTCCAAATGATTGCTCCCAGCAAACAGATCTAATGATTCCCTGATCCTTAAACTAATGTCATGTGTTTGGAATTGCCAACTAGCAAATATACAAGCCGTCAGAATCTTGCCTTGCACTGAATCATGCATCCAAATGTCAGCAAAAATTTTACAGCCTAACAAAAGATTAGTCATCCATACTGTGGCAAAAACAAAAATCTTGGCGACAGTTCCTTGTACAACATCAAAATCTTTTTTTTTTTTCTCGACAAAAACCAATGAATTTTTTATTCTTCTTCCCTCCTGAAATGTCATGTATTTCTAATGCCAGGCATTTTTTCTTCAAAATTTAGAGCTGCTTTTACAAGCATTTCCATTGGTTCCCTATCTTTATCTGATTCCTGATCACAGTTCACATCCAGTTTCTTCCCAAGATTCTCACATGCACTTCTGCCCATTTCGTCTTTCCTTTTCATTCTATTTCCTTGTTTCTCATATGCCTTCTTTACCCTGCGTATTTCCTTGATTTTCACATCACATTGTCTGCAGAACCACTTCCCTCTTGGCACAGAAGTGCGTGGTGGATTCAAACAATACAGGTGAAATGCATGATCACAACCATCACATAAAACAATCTGATGATCATCTCTATCAAGAAGGCAAACTCTACATAGACAAGAAGAGCAATACCAACGAGGACCATAGGATTTTAAAAGGTTAGTGGTCAGGCACCTCACATGGTAATACTTGTAAGGGCATCCATTGTGCTCACATATCTTCACCTTTTCACCATTTTCCACCTCACTTCCACATATTTTACAGACACATGAGCTCTTATTACCCACTGGCGGTTGACGAAAATCATCCCTAGAGCAATTTGAAGTCTCTTCAAACTTGCTGAATGTTCTTTCAATTGTTGCATATTTCATTTCATCATCAGTGTCATTACATAGGGCCCTGGGGGCATTCAGCCTCTTGCACACCACACAATTCTCATGAGGAGATCCCATTCCTACTGCAGTGCAGCTTGCACAGTACCAACTTTTTAGTGGAATCTCTTTGACAGCAGGTTGAATACAGGATACATGGTACATTTCCTCACATGAATCACATACTAAACAATCCCTCCCATCTGCTTTGCCCCCACAATGCCGGCATGTGCAGAATTGCTCCAATTTACCATGAAAATAAGATTCTGGGTTGCGGAACTGCTCCATAGCCAAGAAATTCAAATATTTCTCAGAACTAACCAACCAGTCTAACAAAAAATCTAAACATAATTACTACAAATATTCACCTCTACTGATTTGTATAATTCAGTAGTAACATAGATTACTAATGCCATTATGATAAAGCTAAATGACAGTATAATACAATCTAAGATGCTACATCATGGTTTCATCTTCAGAAACGATTTACTTTAGTTCATCAGAAGAATCTACAACAAAATCTATAATGTAATTTTAAAATGATGAAAATTCATATGATGTGATAATTTTATTAAGCAAAATTGTATGTTGCCTGACCACCCAGCAAAAATTGTACATGGTCTGACCATCGCACACCCTCCCACAAGCCAAATTTCCAGTCTGATAAAAAACTATCTGCAAGTTGGGTATATTACCTGTTCATTAAAGCAAGTCAAAGACAAATCTGAGAGACTCTTTCCAAGAGACATCAACTCAAGACCAATTCCTTGAAACTTTCTCCATACCTGAAAAGATAAATTATTTTTCCAAATTATTGCTGCAATAAATAGATATTGACATATCTTCATATAACAAGTGTCACCCTCAGCAAACATGAAAGCACGTAATTGTGGAGTAATTTTGAAATTTCTTAGAAATATGCTTTGATATTTGATTTCATATAACTATGCGTGACAATAACAAATTAAATTGTGATCACTACATTATATATGACAAACTAATTGACATATATTACAATTAACAATACACAAGTTCTATTATTTATTAAAATGTAATCAATTAAGGGAAAAATTAATATTTAGGCATCAAACTTGGTTTTCAGGACCCCCGATATGCCTGGAAAACGTATGATAATAAAATTGTTTTGTACATACGTTTGTCAAAAAAAGTGAAGGTGATAATGTGGCTAGTGATACAAGGGGAGAAAAACAAAGAAATAAAAAGGCCTGCAAATTGATTCAACTGTGAAATGGCATGCAGTGATGAGATAAGTACTACAAGTGAGATGCTCTGCAAAGAAAGGCCAAGAGATAAACATTTTGCAGGCACATCAGCATCTAAAATATATCTAAAATACAAACTCAAACACATAAGGTGCACATTAACACCATAATATACCCTTCAGAGTTTGAAAAACATGTCAGTGCATCAGTACATCTTCATAACAATAAAAATGAACACATTCCAGCATCTATTTAAACACAAAGCAAAATCATACAAGCCACGTAACTAACAGACGAAGTTCTAACTTTATAGAAGAAGCACAATAGCACATTGCACAAATTACCCGTTGAATATCTGTACAAAAAAGAAAAGGTGAGCGCTCATAAACTCCATCTTTCATCCTTATGTTTATGAGGCTTAAGCTTATAAGGTTGTCAGCCTTCACTTCTTGGAAATTTTCGCAGAGTAGCTTACACAATAAGGTGAAATTTTCAGAAAGTAAAATGTTAACTAAAGCATGTCGGCACATCTCAGTGACAGGACGATGAGATTCATCCGAAGTTTCATTAGATGTGAAATCCACAAGTCCTTTGGCTGTACAGTGAGTTCCATTAGGCATCCACCCTGCTTGGGAGTAGCACTTGTGTTTATCTTTGTCAAAAGTATCAGATTCCTACAAAAACAACAAAAAAATTGGACCAACAATACAAAGAAATTAAAAACGAACAGCAATCAAGACATAATATCATTGTGAGACATGCCATTTGGCAACAGCACAAACCTTAACTGTCATCTTAAGTGCATCTTGGATGCACCCCTGTATACCACCCTGTTCATCATTTAATGACTCACAAATGCGTTCAAGAAAAAAATTTCTGAACTGCTTGTGTGAAAGATCATTTGGACCATCCAAGGAAGCATGATCCTTAAGAGGACAATCTGGCGGCTCTTTTGTGGTCTACAAGAAACCACAGATAGCTAGGTTAAAAAAATTATAAATATTTTAAACTTTTAAGGACCAAAACTAGAGAAATCAAGCGAAAGGAGGAAAAGACAAGTTGTACAAAAGATAAACTTTCATAAATCATATAGACAAACTCCATGGTGTTCCTCTCTCTTCCGTTTTTTTTTTTTTTTTTTTTTTTTTTTGACAAGTTGGTACAAAAGATTAAACTTTCATAAATCATATAGACAAACTCCATGGTGTTCCTCTCTCTTCGCGTTTTTTTTTTTTTTTTTTTTTTTTTTTTTTTTTGGGGGGGGGGCGGGGGGGGGGGGGGGGGGGGGGGGGGGGGGGGGGGGGGGGACCTTAAAACAAATAATGGATATATTACAGGACCTTAAACAAATAATGGATATATTACAGTTAAATTACAATATTTTGCTCCATTTCAAATCTCCAACAATTTAGGGATGGATCTAAAGTACGGGGTAAGGTATAATAAGACCAACCATATGTCTTCCTATTAGCCTTCATTAAATAAATCCCACTAGAAAACTTTTAATGATAGCCATAGTGTAGAGTCTCTGATCAATTATTGATCCAGTAGCAGGAAGTTAGTTGCCATCTGAACTTCGGAAGTTTTATCACCTTCTTTCCCTCTTTCTTTTTCTTTCCCCTTGACTAATAATAGTTTTGTCACCTAGATAGCCACTAATTCAGAATTTGTAAAATCCATATCATATAGCACTAATAGGCCTCTATAACCTCTATTTGGTTACCAAGAATGAAGAGTGGGAATAGGAATAGAGGTTTATACCGTAGCCAGTTTCTAGAATCAAAAACAAGTAATCAAGGTCCATTCACTCCATCTCTTACGTTCTATGTAACCAAACACCCAAGGAATGAGAGTTTGATTCCCATTCCTAGTCTTTTATTCCCGATGACCAAGCCGCAGCTACACCTTTATACTCATAAAGATGCATATCATACAAAAACTGCAAATAAAGCATCTTCAGAAAATCATATATAAGCAGACAACAAGTATGCCTTATTCTGATCTTTCTTTGTCCATGTTAGCAAAATTTTTATTACTTGGGGCATGTTAATCAGACTATCAAAATTATAGGCAAATTTAAATAAGCTTACCCCGGGTCACAGTTTAGCTCAGTCTGTAAGAACAACTGTGGAAAAAGGAGTAAAACTCACGAAACACATCTCATTTTAGAGATAAGAAAAATGAAAAAATTAAAGAATAGATCTTGTCGAACAAAATCAACCATTTAACAAATCATCCATGTGACAAATCATCCGTTTAAAAGTAAGCAGGTCAATAATGTGATTCAGCTACACAAAAGGAGCAAACAGCTGTTCTCCATGGGAATACCAGCTACCTTTGTTTTTCTTGTGTATGGCCATATAGTGAAACACAATGGAGACTTTTATTTAAGGTTTGTGTGAACTATGAAGTTGAGCCACAGTCCTCTAAGAATTTCTAAGAGTCTTAACATAACCTTCAAATCAAAATTTGTCTTTCATGTTATTTCCCAGTAGAAGTCTTAACCCTTCCCTTTATTAACAACTACTGATTAAAATTATTCTCTTAAGAGTTTTGAAAACACAAATGCATGCCAAGTGTGTTATAGCACATTTTTCTTCTTCTAAAATCGGTTATATATAGAACCATTACTCTTCCAAGAAAAATCTTTTGTTAATCAGGCCCAAAACTGTATCCCTTCAGTGCAGTTCAAAATCTTCAAATATCCTTGGTATACCTAAAAACCTTTCAAGACCATATACAATCCCATCAGTTCGTGTTTTCAGATACCAAAGCCTACAGTTAGTTAACCGGCCAAAGAAACTTTGAATCCCCAGATCTCCTCACCATTCCAAAATATCTGCAACCCCATTTTTTTATTTCTAGCTAATTGCACCATCAAATTACAACTTGCCCTTCGTACTAAAGTAATTATAGATCACAAAATTTTGCCTATATCCACCATATTAGTCATCCCATAGAGAGAGAGAGAGAGAGAGAGAGAGAGAGAGAGTTAAATTCCACTACATTTACAAAAATGCAATAATCTGAAGTTACTGTTCTGGCACCAAACAGCCATTCATTTGCCAAACATCAATGTAATCAACCCAAGTTTAGTTGCCAGACCATTTAATTGAAGCTCCTAAGTCCCTGATTTCCAAGCCCCAACCCACCGTTAAGAATCTAGAATGGTTTACCAGGTCTGCCTTAAGTCAACATGATTCTTTGGAAATGTGAATTTATGAGAAAAATAAAATACGAATATCTTCTAAGTTTTATTAGAAAGTAGATGATCCTGTAGCCTAATTAAAAATTCATGTAAAATATTTTAGAGTATGACAAACAAAAAAAAAAAAAAAAAAAACTAGCCTAATTAAAAATTCATGTAAAATATTTTAGAGTATGAAAACGAAAAAAAAAAAAAAAAAAAAAAAAAACCAAGGGGATACCCCTGAATCTTTATGTCCAGACAAGGGCTATTAGTGCATTTTGCTCCACAGAAATCTGAACAGCATATAAAGTATGAAGTGTCAGTGAAGGGCTTCAGAAACATAAGGTGAGGCACCTTCATCTTGGCACACGTGGGTTTCAAAAGGCAAATGCCTACTTTTTGGGCACAAGACGCGTAAAAAGCACGCTTCTAAATAGATATGGTAAAAAGCAAAGAGAAGTAAGGTAGTAGGACTAGTTTCATTTCAACGAATGCTACTCTCATCTTAAAATCTCTTTAGTTTATTCTCCATGTGACATCCTTGACCTCTCTCAACCATTTCATTTATCATCTTAACCTTCTCAGCCATCTAATTTATTTCCTCAACTTTTTATTCTCCTATTCCTCTCTTTTCCCTCTCTTCTCTTTTTCCATTCTCCTTTTCCTTTCCTGAAATTTTCAAATTTCCCTTAATCAGCAAGGTCTGTCAAATGAACACCATAATACTTCCACAAAAGAATAGAAACCTGCATAGAATTATTCTGGTCAAGAAATTCCAAGCTTTTCTTATATGGTGGAGGCATTAAGGCTAAATTTTGATCATATCTGTTTAAGATTATTTTGCTCAATCACTTTGCAAGTTATTAACAGAAGGTTTATGAAATTTAACAGCCCCAGTGGGATCTGAACATACATCCTTTTAGCAATAAAGTGATGTTCTCCCATTTAAGCTAACTTATTCACTACTATATCTCTTTAACCCTTGCTATGACGATGTGTTACAAATATTTTTTCATAGACATTACGATTCATTTTATTTTAAAGATGTATACCTAACTTCAGTCACACGCATGCCTTACCTTGTGTCTAACTGCCTGGGCTTCAAGTGCCCTTGGAGCTTTAGGGTTCCAATGCTGTTTAACAACATTCCAATCCTGTTTAACAACATTGGATCTGCCAATGCTGCAGCAGGAAATAAAACTAGCCTTGCCTAACTAAGAACAATCTGTTTTGGCTTGGACCATAAGATCTTCCAGCCAACAATAAAGAAAGTAGAGAATGCCCAGTCAGATTTTCTCTGTAGTACCACTTATAACCCAATATTTTACTTATACTTCCAAGATACTATTGCATAGAAACAGAATATCCTCAAAATGAATTAATATAAGAGAAAAATAACAGCAAATTCATTTTATCAATTGATTCATACAAAAAACAAACTTACACATAAGATGTCAAAGATAAATGGGTAGAGATTACCTCATCTGCCAATTTACTAGCAGCTTCCATTGAACCTCTCCCATCCTCTTGACCTTTACTTTCTGAACTCGACTTTATGTGCTTCCGCCTCTTGTAAGTTCGAAAACCCTCAATGGGCCCGGAGCCACCATTACCGCTATCATTGCCAATCCTATTTCCAAAACCAGTATTCACTGCTTCACTTTTCAAGTACTGAACTCCCTCACATGTGCTTTCACCAATGCTTGTTCCCTCACCACTGCCCATCTCTTTAAGTGACAAAGAAAATCTAAGAAAACGAGCAACCCTAATTCAAAGATTCTCAGCCCCAAATTAGGGTTTCACTGTGACAACAATTTCAATGAATCAAAATTCAAGTAAACTGCCATTTAGACAGAGCAATATATCAATAAAACTACTATGAATTAGTAATATTTTCATTAAATAAAGCTTAGACGGAATGAATTTTCAGTGAGTTAAGCAAGAAAACACGACAAAGGAAAAGAACATTGAATAAAACGAGTCTTTGCCTCTAATCTCTACTGGTGCTTTGGCTTCTCAAGTAAAATTAAGTCAAATTCATGCACGAGACTTCAGCAACTGAGCATTTGTTTATTATAGACCACAGAGGAATTTTAGATTAAAGGCTCAAAAAAGTTTGGTTTCACTTTTTTTTTTTCTTTTCTTTCTTTCACATTTTCTCGTTTACCAAACAGAATAACAAAAACAACAAATAATAAATAGAAAAAATCAAAAGAAATAACAAAAGAGAGAAATCAAGCTTACCCAAGTAGAGATTTTTATCCCTTGAAACTCAAACCCTAAAATCTGAGAAGCGTGGTTGGCTTGTTTGACAGAGGACTTGGCTTGCAAGTTGCAGGTCTTATCCGTGTAGTTTTTAAATTTTTTGAACAGACTCTTTCAGTTTTTGCTCGTTATCCTTGTTTTTCTATTGTACATTTACGTTTTTCTCTGGTTCTTTTATTTGTTAGTGGGTCGGATCTGGTGGTGAAAAACCGGGTGGTGTTAGGAACAGCCGGTTTTGACTGACACGTGGCGGTTTTCTTACTGGTCCCTGAGAGTCAGACTTTTGAGTCCCCCATATTGCCCGCCCAAGCTCAGTGGATGTTGTCTTTTGTTTTGGGTTAATTAGGCCATCTACGTGAGTCATCTATTTGGTTGATGGGAAAGTAGGAGAAAATAAAAGAAAATGGGAGATCTTGTGATCTTGGGCTTATTGTTCTGTTCTCCTTGAGATTTTCTTTTTTGTTGGATTAATTTTTCGGAATCTTAGTTTCGTCTTCATATCTTTGTTTTAGCTTAACTTAGCAATCAAATTTCAAATTGATTGAGAAGCGAAGAAATTGAGTTCATGAAATCTTGGAGCTGATCCTTTCGGGATTGACATGGCAAGCATCGACTCAACAGCCTGTGCTGATGAGATTAAGACGAGAGCATGCTCCACGCTCGCATAGCTTAGAAGAGGTTTTGTTTCTCTTCCTCCCAATTTGAAGTTAGCTTCAGCTTAATTTTTAAAGCGTAGAACAAGTCTAAGCTTTGTTGATGATAATTTAATTCTTTTCTATTTGAATGAATTGTTACTTTGTTCTTAATTCTTATCAAACCATACCAAATCAACAACCAATTTATGATTTAGTCATTTCAAATTAATTAGTTTGTTTGATGAAAAATCTCAATTCGTCCAAGGTTTCTCATTATCAACACACGTGAACTTTATAATTTCAGAAAAATATGCAAGTTCAAGATTTTCCTTTAACGGTTGGTGTGCGTGAATTTCACAATTTGAGAAAAATGTGTGAGATGAAGGTTTTACATTGTTAGCGCGCATGAACTTCACAATTTAAGAAAATTGTGTGAGTGTTGAGTTGAAAAAATAATAGTAATTCCAATTCAAGGGAGAATATGAGATTTTCAATTAAAAGAAAATCAATTAACTACCATATTTTGTTAAAGTTGAGAACAAAGAATGCAAATTAGGAAGTAAAGTTCATATTGTTTAAGAAAAAAAAATAAAGAAACAAAACCTAAAGCTTCTCTATCTTTTCTAATTTTAACATAAAAAGGCTCGCAAAGTACCTAAAAAAATTAGCCTTTCTTATAAGTTTTTTATCTTAATGCATCCAAAATTTTCCATTGTCAACGTGCATGAACTTCACAATTTGGAAAAAAATGTATGAGTCGAAGGTTTTTCATTGTCAATGCAAACGTAAAATTCACAATTTAAAAAAAAATGCATGAGTGTTAAGCTGAAAAAGATAATGATAATAATTTCAATTCAAAAGGAGAACGTAAGATTTTCAATTAAAAGAATACTTAAACATTATATTTTATAAAAAATTGAGAACCATGAATCTATACAAATTAGAAAGTAAGCAAAGCATAAAGCTTCTCTATTTTCTCTAACTTTAACAGAAAAAGGCTTAAGATACCAAAAAATGAGCTTTTTCCATCAGTTTTAAGTTTGATATCGATTCATTCAAAGTTTCTCATTGTCAACATGTGTGAATTTCACAATTTGCCAAAAATGCGTGAGTCGAAGGTTTTCCATTGTCAGCGAACATGAACTTCATAATATTTTTAGAAAAATGTGTGAGTATTGAGCTAAGAAGCGATAATAATTCCAAGGTTTGCAGAACAATATAGGATTTTTAATTAAAAAAACAATTAATCACCTTATTTCATTAAAGTTGAGAAACAAGAATCTAGGCAAAACAGAAAGAAAATTTGACATTGTTTAAGAAAAAGAAATTAAGGAAGGCAAAGGATAAAGCTTCTCTATCATTATATATATATAATACGACAAGTATTTAGTTGCTCAAAATTTGAAGTAAGAAAAATAAATTATGGATTCCAATCATGAAAAGCTTCTCTTTATAGGCATCATATAAAAGGTGAATTGATATAAATCACTCAAACATTCGTGTTTGATTAAGTGTCATGGTCATCTTTATAGCTATAAGCCAATAGGCGTAATGCATAAATTCACATCTGTATGTTATGTAAAGAAATCTTATGATACCTAGAAGTGAACAAAATTCGGTAAATACCAATTTATAGAGCCAAACCAAGATATTCAATAAAAATAATTTGGTAAACAGTAGACGGTCAATAAATTGTTTAGACAAACTTCGATAATTGATAAATAGTTTAGTATCTAAAAAATTCAAAATTTAGATTTACCGATTTACTTAAAACGACGTTGTTTTAATTTTTTTTAATAAAAAACTCTTGTATAATAACTCAATTAATTTGTTAAACAGTAATTTGTACAATAAATGAATTAAAAAACTCTTTTAATTTTTAATTCTTCAAGTATGTGAATCGGTCAAGTCGATAAATACAAATTTGATAAATCAATAATCTTCTTTTTTTAATATTTTTCTTTAACAGACTGTTAATGATCGTAACTTTTGGACTTTTAGAGATTCCTAGATTCATTTCTTTCGGATGATCCTGAACACCTATCAAAATATAGTTTAGCCTATAAAATTCATGGGGGCTAATTTTCTTGAGGCCGAGCCTATAAAGCCCCTGTACAACATCCTTAAAGTTTTCATAGTAAATTGAATTGGAAGAATAAAATCACCTGGAACTATAGTAGTTGGAGTACCTGCTGGTGAGATATAAAGAATCAAAGACAGAACAATTCCCCTGGTACTTCGATAACTCTCAGCCCCAAGCCAACTGTCATATTGGGAAGTTGGTGCATTTGATAGTACAACTTCTGATTCATAAACTTCAAGATGAATTACAGGATTTATGTAATTGTGGATTTGAGGAAGAACCCTGAAGTCTGTCAGTAGGGCAACTAGATCGAAGCAATGACATAAGAGTGTTGTGTCACCTTCTCCTCCCTCTTGTGTAGAGCTTGGCGCTCTTTTCTAGTTGGATACAACTTGCATCATTGCCCTCTAGGGAAGCTTCAGGTTGGTGCCCCCAAAATCTCTATTATTCTTAAAGGTAGAATCAACTTCTTCTTCTTGGTCACTTGTCTGTCAATGGATGATGAAACAACAGCAGATCTAGGAGAGTAATACTTCTCAAACATAAGTTTCATCATTTTCAAGAGTCTTTGTCTGCTTTTCTCAGCCTTTCTTCAAGAATTCAACAAGAGAATGAGTCAATATTAGAAATAAAAGAAACAGAAACCAACTTATTCTGCTTTTGGTTCTGTTCAGTAACAAATTTATGTTTAGTTCTTTGGGTTTAGAATTGGGAGTCTGAATCTCTTCTTTCTCTAAGGATTAGATCCTCCTTCAGGATACTCTATGTTTTGTGGAATAAGATTTTCAAAACCTGCAGTATGCCATTCTTCTGAGTCATGTAGCCTGATAACTTTATGTCTATAGCACATTTTTTTTGAGGTATTGGTGAACCTCAACAATAACAATTCAAAAAACAAAAAAGAATAGAAAGTAGCAATAGTAGTGTGCCACCAATTATTTGCATTATGAAAACATTAACTAATATCTTAAACGCGTCGGGTAATAAAATTTACTAATTGTAAGAGCAATTATACTACCTGAACTTCTAATCGGTGGACTGAAATAGGTTTAGATCCATGATAAAATTTTCATTGACGGTTGAAAATAAATTGTAAACAAAGTATCACACAATACGTTTAGAACTATTTCGGTCATGGAAAACTATCTTCTAGAGCATACGATGATTCTTTTGCCATTTGATGCTTAATTAACCTACTTAAATATCACCCAAAAGATAGTGTTTGAAAATTAAAAATATTGTATTCAAAAAGATATCAATAGAAAAGAAAATTTGACAAATACTTGGAAAGAAAAATACGATAAAACTGAAAGAGATTTAAATAGGATGGCTTTGAGAAATAGTTAAATTGTTTTTGTGTTCGATTTTTTGAGTTGATTGTTGGGCCTTCTTCTATATTTGACTTTAGCTTTTATAGAGCACCTAACGGTTATCACTTCCACAAGATGACGAGTCAACTGCTCAAGTTGTTGGTGCACTTACCTCAACTGGTCATGATCACAGATTATGCAAACAGTAGCTTGATACCTTTGTTAACCATCTCCAGTGAACTCCCAAGATATTTATCTAGCTAATTATTAATCAATTAATCATGTTGCTCTAATATCTTAAAAACCAATTAATTAATTAAGCCTAAATTATTATTAAATTCACACCCATAGTCTATAAAGATTAAAATATGGTGTAAAAAAAGATTTTTAATTTGAAAGGAGATAAGTAAAAAATAATATATATATAATTAGGATATAGATAAAGAAAATGATAAAATTTTAAATTTTAAAAATATATATAATATTTGATAGTAATTTAAAAGATTTTAAGTGGCCAACTTAAAATCTTACTTTTAACTATTGAAAATCTGTAGTTAATATTTGACTATAATATTTGGTTTTTATAAAAAAATAAATGAATAAATGTAAATAACGAGTAAAAAATAAGTACTGATCTAGAATTAATTAATAATTAATAGTGAGTGTATGTCTCTTAAATTATTAATAACATTATTCAAAATAAAAGTTATGGGGTTAAGATATTGGAATTTTGTTTTTCATCTTTTTAACCTTATTTAATTTGATGATATGTATTCTTAAATTTACGAAATTTAATTTAAAGATATCAAAAAATAATTTATTAATTGTTCAAACAAAAAATAATAGTACTAAAAAAAAAAAAAAAAAACAAAAACCTCAATATATTCAATAAAGAAGGTGTTATAAAGGGGGCGTTAGAATATCTTGGAATTTTTATGTTTTTACAATCCGTTTATTTAACTCCTCTCATTTAATTTGATGATTATGTTAATATCTTAAATTAAACTCGACTATTCCACCATTAACGACTACTCAAAAATAAAAATTGCTCAAACAAAAAAATTAATTAGCTACTAAAAAAAAAAAAAAAATATAAAAAAAAAAAAAAAAAACAAAAACCTCGTCTTCAAAATAATGGGCTTTTCACAATAAAGCACTCGTTAGTGACTTAGTTGAAAGGTGCTTTCGCTTCACTCCATTCTACGCTTCCAAAAGACCCCCAGAATATGAGAGGCCGCCGGTGCGAGCATTCTCGGGCTGACTCCGACACCGATACTGATTCCGAAACCGAAACTATGCGCTGCATATCGTGCAAAGAAGAGTACGGGACGGTTGACGCCGGCACTTGCAAGGAGTGCTACGAGGAGGCCAGTGAGACCGAAGAGGAGCTCAAGAGAGAAATCGAAGATCTCAAAGCCAAAGTTGCCTTCTTGCGATTCTGGTCTCCACTCGATCACAGCCATAGTAACAGGTCAACTGGACCTTGCTTCACCGACGTCGTTTTGGTCGCCTCCTCTGATAATGGTCCAACTGGCTCTCCCGTCCCCGTCCCTGCCCATAAGGCCATTTTGGTCAGTACCCAAATTCCCAATTTTGATACTCTGGTAGCTTGTTTCATAGATTCACATGATTAGTTAAAGATCACAGGAGAGATCATGGAGTATGGAGGATTAGGAAGTCTATTTATTATCTACTTTCAATGAGGATTTTCAATGCCAATGGGCATCTGTGTCTAATTTGAGAAGTTATTATATATTTTCTATATAAATAGGACTAGAGATATTTTAAAATTTTGAATTTGCATCTACTTTTATCTGACCTTGCCTATTGATACAGCAAATAGATGCATTGACAATCTTATATTCATAATTACTTATAAAGTTTTGCGTTTTCTGAGAGTCAGAGTCGAAAAGAGGATTCTTCACTTGTTGGTGAAAGAGCAGTTTCCAACCTTTTATTAACCGTTGCCTTCTCTATCCAACTTTCAGCCTTGTTTTTTACTCATCCCCATATGCATTTTATCTTCGTATTGTTAACCCAGCTGTCGTGTTTTGCTTTATTACATTATTGATCTATGAATTGAATTGTTTCCAATTATTAATGTCTGTTAACTGTTCACATTTCATCTCATACATGTAGCCTACCCATTTGAACATGTTGAATGACATTGCAATTTGCAAATGAATTCCTAATGGATACCCATTTTGCATTTGGATTCAATTATGTAATTCTTTGATTGAATTTCCTTTCTCGTTTTTCTTTTTGGGAGTATATTGATTGCATATTTCCCAAAAGCAATATAGCAGCATGTAGAGGAGAGTGTTAACCATAAAGAAAAGTTTGCGTTCTCTGCACTATGTATAATTTGGAGAAATTTACTCATGGGTTTGTTGCTCTTGTACATTTTTCTGACAAGGCAAGTCGTTCCCCGGTGTTTAAAGCAATGCTCGAGAATGAGATGGAAGAAAGCCGGAGTGGCACCATCAAGATTAGTGATGTATCATATGATGCACTTCGTGCCTTTGTCAACTATCTATACACAGCTGAAGCATGCCTTGATGAGCAAATGGCTTGTAACCTTCTAGTTTTAGCTGAAAAATACCAGGTTAAGCATCTCAAGGCTTATTGTGAGAAATTTTTGGTGTCTAAATTGAATTGGGACAATTCAGTCCCAAGTTATACCTTCGCACATCAGCACAATGCAAAACAGATGCTTGAAGCAGCATTGTCGTTGATCACAGACAACATGGACAAACTTACCAAACGGGAGGAGTATATGGAGCTTGTGGAAAGGGATCCTCGACTTGTGGTGGAGATTTATGAAGCTTATCTCTCCAAACAGGTTAATACAGCAGCACAAAGGATTCTTCCATGAAGCCATGGCAAACATAGGTCTGCTGGTAAATAGGTTTGAAGCACAGATCATTTTTCATTTTGGGGACCGATGCTTGATGTAGAGATGTCTAACTTGGCAATTTTGCAATGGATTTGTTGGAAAGTTTTTAGACTTGTGTGGATAAATAACATTAGTGTTAAGCGGAGTTTTACACTGGGATGGGTGAATGGTGAATACCATTGGGAGGAAAGCTTTGCAAGATTATAACAGAAGTATAATTTTAGCATTTGTCCATTGACATTTATGTTAAACTTGAAAGCAGCCTTAATTTCTTCTTGTTCTCTCATCTCAGTTTGTTCTTTTTCTCAATTAATTGTTGTCCATCTTTCTCAATGCTATATTCAAAATGACAGATGTATGGAATCAAGTTCTATCTGAAAAGTATCATAATTTCAGTAACAGCTCTTGAGGCCTGGAGCCAAAAAAGAGAGATTTATTTTTTGAAGGTTAGCATTTGTGATCTTTTGAAGCTCTCTTTTAATTATTATTTTTCTAAACATCTCTTTGGCTCTTCTCCATACGACCGAAGTCATAATGCTTTCTGGCCTTCTTTTACAACCTTTAACGCCTTTTCTCTCTCCTTTTGTTTTGTCGTTGTCGTATGAATTTGTCATCTACATTAAAGAGAAGAAAGGAAAAGCTTTTAAGCTTGTTGTTTACTGAAAAGTTACAACGTGTTAGGTCACCGCCTTCAAAAAGTTAAAACAGAAATTAATCGTTCAAATAAAATATGGATAAAATATGACAATCTAGAGGCCTACAATAAAAAACTGATACTGTGGGGAAAAATAAAATAATACCCTTTTCCCTATTAAATTATTGTGGATTTCAATTATGACTAGGAATACAAGAGAAAATGATTAATTTACAGTGATGATTATATTGAAGAAATCAAGAACTTTTGGCTACAAGGAAATAATAACACTAATAAAACTCAAAGATAAAATTGCAGAATCCATCAGTGAGAAGTCCCATCTTCTCTTAGAGGGAAAGAGGATATGATCATGGCATACGTTTATCACATATCAAAACCTTCCAGCTCGCATGGGGACCTTCACCTGTATCATGAAGAGAAGGCACCCAGCCCATGGCCCTTGCTATTGCTTCAATTTCACCCATGATCAATACTGTATCACGTACGTAAGCAATTCCACCAGGTCTTAGCATCCGATCCATTTCAAGCATTATAGTTGAGATATTGCATTTTTGCCTAGTGTGTAATAAAAATTTCCAGATGTTAATATTCAGTCTCCGTCAATAGGAAAAAGGATGATAGGTCGTGTTCTATGTTACTTGTACCTTTTCTGCTCCGCGGAGAACAAACCTGCTGCATGTATCAGGTCATATGTTCTGGGGTAAGTATCAAATGGCTCGCACCTGCGAAGCAAAATTTTGAGACTCAAGAATTTTTAACTATTAATCATACTGTTATAAAACTGTCAATCAAAATTAGCTTCACAATCCGAGCAATTTGAAGTAGGTATGTGAAAGTTGGCTTGACTAAGCACTACATATAAAATTCCAAGGATAGGTAGATATAAGAATAAAGAATTGAACTTTAGAAAACAGGGATTTTACATACCAGTCATGCATTACTCCTATAAGTCCACGATCATAAATAACAGGCAAAGTGTTAAATCCGCTAACAGGTACAACGTTCATAACCCAGCAATCAATCTGCAGATCATGTAATGCCGCTGCAAATCTGCAATAGTTGAAATCACCAAAAAATTAATTTAAGTCAACGTAGGCTTTAAAATCATTCCTACTAATATGCAAATATCAAGAAGGCTATACCCTCCAAATCCAGCCCTCATATCCATCACATTTCGGAAATTCATCTGTTTCCAATGGTAACCATTAATATAACCCTTTATGATCTCATTCCAATATTTTGATTCTGCCTTGAAGAGTTCCTTTCTGGATATTGAGGCATCCATTTTTATGCTCTGTAGTCTCTCTGGTGAATTATGAAGGCGTATAGGCCATGTGGTAACGTTCACTCCATAACCATTCTCAGGCAGTGGAGGTATGCATGCCTTCAAGTTAATATACCTGTACAAAGCATCACAATTCTTTGGCATTATTGTTTTAATCTAAGCAATGCTTACTTTGGTCCTCTTTCAAAACTATTTTGTTTTTTTTTTTTTCAAATGACTTAATCTTTGATTGGTTGAAATTACAGGAAAATTCATAATAAAAAGTGCACCTACTACATTTATCATGCTACTTAACTAAAAAGTGAACAAATAGGCAATTTTGGAGAAGGGTATACCAAACGTTGTCAGGATCATCACTAGAGTCACACAGTGGAGGTTGTGTTCCAGCTTCACGAGTAACATAGCAACTATTGTTTAAGGGCTTCCGCCATATGGCAATAAAGCCTTCCTTCTTTACAAGTTCCCAACAAATATGACTGGTGAGATTCTGCAGTTCTGCACATAATAGTGCCATAAATCAATAATCAAGCAATCAAAAGATAGAAGACCTCATCTTTGACATTATCTATATGAAATGAACACAAGAACCGGTCATGAATATTATTGCAAAAAAGAAACTCCAGAACCGAATATACAAGAACAATAATATGGTTGGGTACCTATCCATTGTTGTTGCAGATTGTCTTCTTGTTTATATACAGGTTGTGCAGCCCACACAAAGTATCCTCCTCCTCTTAGCATTCTGTTTGCCTCCAGAAGCAAAATTCCATCTTCCTTACAGCCAAAGAAAGGAATAGCCGTAAATTATCAATTGAAATACTTAATGGGAGTATTTACCATTACAGCCAAATAATTCCACATTGAACACGAAGAATCAAGCTTGTAGATGTATTTATACCATCACGGATCCAATCAACTCCACATCTCGAACAATGTATCAAGTCAAAAGCTTGGCTTGGATACAATAAACGGCGTGTACCAAATATTGCTACCATCGCAGGAACTCCACGCTCAAGTGCAAATTGAATCTGGTTCTCAGTGGCATCTTTTGGTGCTATTGATAGAGTGGTCACATTACGCTGTAACAAATAGGCACCAAAACTCGCTACTCTACAACCAATATCTAAGGCAACACGGGTGCTTTGCCCAAATGCAATATCGGGAACCATCTGCTCATAAACAATTGGCAGAGTTATCAATCTAATGCAGCAGATCAAAAGTAATAAATATTGGGAATTTTTACAAAATCCAACCTGTGAAATTTGGTTTAAGTACTCTTCTATCCCATCAACAAATTGTGGTCCCCCTCCTGCAAAAGTTAACTTATCCCCTTTTCTTGATATCCAATTCTTGCCACTCTTGTCCTTAACAAGAGTTGCATGGTTAACATTACTGAACCACACCTGTTACTAAATAACACCATTGTTAGCCCAGAGAAAAACCTTTGCTAAAACTGAACTAGGTCAAACAATTAACCTCGTATTCCAAAAGGTGCCTTACAAAAATCTAAAACATATCTCAATCACCTTAAAAAGGTAAATTTTTAATGGTGAATCTAGTCAACCTATTCAATAGGTTGCATATTCGATCAGCAGTTCAGACAACAAAACAAAAGAGATATAAAGCTACGAATTTTCATTAAGGAATAGATAGAAATGTGATTTTTTTTTATAATTTGTTTCTTAATTATACATTACCTCATCTCTGCTCTTGGGCCAGGGAATGCGTTTCTGGTACTCTTTAGGCATGGGCACCAAACAATCCAGTCCCTTGCCTTCTTCAGGACAATGCCTTTCGAACTTTTCTACACTATTACTCAGATTCAGCCTTCTGAGTTCGTCTACATTTTCCAAACAAGGTATATAGTCGATCATAGTATCTTCGCAAACCTTGTACTTGTTATAGCCAACTCTAATTTCAGTGCCATTATCCTGTTCTTCCTTCTCCTCTTCTCTCCAGTCGCTCAAATTCCTCAGCGTCTCTAATTCACTCGAATCGAAGTCCCCAATTTCAAAATCCACCGTCATTGCCCCGCTCTCATCCACTATACCAATCCTCGGAGCCACCGTCACCCACGACGGTGGATGAACCCGATTTGGTTTAGGATGAGGTGGGAGCGCGTATGATGAGGTAATGGCGCTGTTGGTGACGCCTCCTATTGCGGGGGAGGAGAGAGTGGACGTGGCGAATGGAATGGGAGTGAGGTAATAAAAAAAGGCGACTAGAGAGAAAGATAGAAGCGCAAGCGCTAAAATTTTGACGAAGTTGGGAGTTTTAACGACATCCACCGCGGCGGTGGTTATGGCGGTGGATTTCATTGCTTTGGAAAGCAGCGGTGGCGATGCCGATACTGGAACGTAGAGGGTACGGCGGGCGAGGACTGAGTTTGGACTTAAAAGCGGGAATTTACAGTAACTGATGGACAAGTTGAAGTGCTTGTTTGCGTGCACGCAGCTGGGAGTGGGATTGGAAAAGAACTGTGTATTTAAGAGCGCACGTGGATTCTAAGGTGCTGGCAGTGGGTCCCATCGGATCTCAGTTCAGGTTCAGGCGGCGAGACGGAATTGTAAAGAATTGTGGCCACCGTACCTTAGAAGAAGACAAGAGGACAAAAGCCCATTAATTTATAAATTAAAATTTGGGTTCCTTTGGAATTTGGATTGATTTAGTTAGACATTGCGGCTGGTTCATTTTCAACAGAAATCGAACCGTACTGAAAATAAATTAAAATTGGATCGAAATTATAAGTTTAAAATTTTAAACTGTAATCGACAGTTTAAGGCCGTTAATATTCATATGAATATTAAAATTTCAACTTGAATCAGCCTGAAACCGATGGTTCCAGACCGGTTCGAACCGAAAATTTTCTATTTTTATTTTCAAAATGATTATCACTTAGTCTATTATATATACTTCTAAAAGTCTAAATAATATTTTACTAATGATATACTTTACTTAAGATTTCTTTTTTTGAAAATACACTTTACTTTAAAAGTTAAAAATCTAAAAAATAAAATGGTAAAAAAAAAAAAAGAAAAGTATTTAGTCTAAACTTATATTGTTTTTACCTTTTTTTTTTGCTTTTAAATTATTTACTAAATTCAAAATTACATTCTTTCGAAGCATTTTCTAAAATTTTTTAATATTTTATTTAATTAATAACATTTAGAGAAAATAAAGTGATCATTTATTTGATTATTTTGTAAAAAGTAATTAATTTTATTATTATATGAGTATGAGCATTCTAAAATTTATTTAAAATAAAATTTACCAATATTTTTCAAATTTATATTAATATTTTTGAAAGAAAGATGTAACATGGAATTGATTTTTTAAAAAAAAAAAAAATATCACCGAAAACCATAATTGAAAATGTCGGTTCATCAAAACCGCACTAGAACTGATCGAAATCAAAATCGGACCAAAACTGACAATTCAAAAATCAATTCAGGCTCAACATTTTAAAAAATTTTAAACCGTGAATTTTGGCGGCCCATGCCTAGATTTAGTGGACTTAAACTACATATCAAATCGAAATGTGGTTCAATGAATATGCATGTTAGACTCCTACGTATTCTTTAGACTCCCACGTATTCTAAGACTCATTGGTGCTAGACATTTTAACTTTTTAATTCCTGGCTTCCCTTCTAACATCCTCCGTATCTTATCTATCTTTTATGTTTATAAATTATTTGAAAGATAATTGGTGAAACTTTACAAAACATGAACGAAAAAAAAGGAATAAAGTTCATTTTTGGCCCCCTGACTTTGTCACCTAAGAATTAAAAGGTCAGATCTAACTTTTATGTCCAAATTACACAGTAATTTTATCAAATTCAGCTTAAATCACCCATTTAAGCTGAATTGCAGGCGGTCAAACAAAATTATAAAATCATAAACAAAAGAAAAATTAAATGGTTATAACAATAACATTATGAATGAGATAAATACAATTTGAAATCCCTACACAGAAGCAAGATAGATCCAGATCAATGCAAAACTTATCAGGAGACTTATTTTGAACCTTGGTTGGTTCAGGTATACTGATAATTTGAAGATATAAATCCAGATCAGGTATTATTTAAATATATGTCTAATACCCAAAGTATAATCTATGCACGTAAAGGACATGTTTGGTGCTGCTTCAAGATATCTATTATTTCCTCTTCAGTGTGTTGTAGCAGATGTACTGTTGCCACAACTAGAAATGGGGTATTGGCACAATTGAAAATTTCCATAATGAGTATTTGGTCATAAAATGCAGCATATATCTTTAAGTGTTGCTTTGAGTTCTGCAACTCAAATTTTCATATTCGTGGTAAGAATTCAAATAGAAACCAACCAATTAAAGATCAATTTCTTTGATTTCCACCAAAGTAATAATTTTTGTAATTGGATTTTCGGGTTCCATTACATGTGTTGTTGCTTGGATAATGGTATTAAGATGTATCTTAATTTCAATCTCCTGGAAACTAGTACTCTTGCTCTAGCAATTATCACCACAGCCTTCACGTTACAGGCAATAATATATAGATACCCTTCACACGTGCAAAAAGGACAAACTGATTTAAAAAAAAAAAGTTTAAATTTTTATTTTATTGTTATTGAAATTAAATTCCTGTTTATGCAGTATTCAAGAAGAGATATCGCGAATTTATGCAGAAACTTCAAAAGGGAAGAGACTTAAATCAAATTATCATAAAGCATGAATTATATAGTTATAAATTGTAACTTAAATATTAATGAAAATAAATTTTATAGGCTTATTATGGATTAATGGATAAACTAAATTTTAGTATTCAACCACTAAGTGAATTTATAGACAATTTGCAACTTGTAAAGTAAACTATAATGTATAATGTTTTGATCGAGGACATTAAAATTTATGAAATCATTGGCTCACCAAATTTGTGAAAATAATTATGGGACTCAAACTCGAGACTTCTCACTCCTTAAATAAATAAGAAGACCAACCAGACAACCACCTAATTAGCATAAATAATATTATATATTATATAATAATATTATATATTATACAAAGTATTGAATCAAAAATATCTAAGGGGTTTTGTCTTATTTGACAATAAAGATTTTAAGTAGTTGATAATAATAAATTCTAATTATATGCCTTTTGAATATTTCTATTTTCTGATAACTCATCATTATCCCATATTTTTACTTTCAAAATGGATGACTTCAAACTTTGTTTTGTTCAACTTTTTCTTTTCTTTTTTTTTTTTTTTTCCTTTTCCAAATAATCGATAGATTTGAAAATTAATTTATATCCATGACCATGCGATATATCTATATCTAGTTATTGATATTAAAATTAAGATATATTAAAAAAATAAAGTAAAAATTATAATCTATCTATAATAATTAAATTTTTCTTAATCTGTGTGCAAGTTAAACAATGACAAAATTATGGGAGGAAGGGTTCATATATTTTTCAAATTACTAATCTTAAATATATTTCACTAAAAATATTAGAGTAATTTGAGAAAGAATTTAATTTTTTAAATCAGAAAATTATAGAATCCAATTCTTTTGTTATATTAACCAACTTCTCTTTGGTTAGAATTTCAATCGGGATTAGTGTTTTCCTTTTCTGACATAAGGCACTAATGTTCTTATTCTACAGTATATTACACATAGAGATGTCTAAATTGTATTTATTTTATATTTGAAGTTATGTTAAATTAATAAAAATAATTATTAAACAAAATTAATATTTTATTATGAATATATTTGTAATTGTATACATAATAATTAATTATTTGATTATTATTGTTATATTTTTATGTAATATATTAAGATAAAAATCATATATTTATTTTGAAAAATAAAAAATATATGATATATGATAATTTATAAATATAATCATCTTTCACCGTGATTTTATCAAACTAGCATTTTTCAGCTAATAGTTATAAGTTACTAACTACCCATATTAACAATTGCAAAAATAATTAGAATTTCCTTTAACAAAATTTTGATATAATTTTAATTTTTCATCAATATTTTTTATAAATAAATTTATTTTTCTTAACAGAAATATATATCATTCATATTATATATATTAACTTAATCACATAAATATATTTTTTATATTTTTGTTCGACCCATTTTATAAAAAACGACTATGGGCCTTGGTTTTGGGCTGTGAAATGAGTATTATTTATTTATTTATTCGGCTTACAACACTGTTGATGATAAATAAGTATAAAGAAAGAGCAACAAGTGGGCGCCCCTCAACAACAAAGGATGGAATTTTTTCCCTCGTTTAAGATTTTTTACACGAAAATTAAAAAATAATTAATTTCTCTAACTTATAATAACATTAAAGGTAATTTTTATCAATTTATTTTTTATCTCAAAATTAAAAGTTTTTTTTTTTAGTATTCGGGGAAGGAATTTAAATCTGGATCTATTGCCAAGTCATATATGCACTTACTATTATGTTATATTTTGGCATGCAAAATTAAAAGTAACTTAAAGATAGTTATTTTATCTAATATAAATAAGAGCAAAATTAGAAAATTATTATTTATTACTCTTTAAAATATTCAAAATGACTTATATTTTGGGACAAAACAATCGCTCAAAAACGAATTACATTTTGAAATGCATGGAATATTTGATTTGATTACTTACTTTTTCACTTTTTCACTTTAAATTTAAAATCAAGTAAAAGATGAGAGACATTTTTTATATTTGGTAAGATTATACAATTTTTTTATTTAGTCAAAAAATATATTTAAATAGATAATTATATATAATGGTACTACTTTTGACTTTTAAATTATTTTAAATAGATTAACTTATAATCTACCTATAATAATATATAAAAGTGAAAATGGGGAACATAGAAATTGTAAAAAAATGCCCCTATTAAGTTTGGATTGATAAAAATATCATTAAACATTTTAATTTGATTTATTGAAAATAAAAATAATTTAATTTTGATTGATCATATTAATTTCTCATTTAAATTTAAATTTTATTAGATAAAATAAAAATATGATATATAAAATATAAGATAATTAATTATATATAAAATACGATAACATTATTCGGTTCCAAATTTCTACTTATAACTAGAAATGATAGTTTTGGAATCGAAACCGTATAATATAACATTAAATAAGGTATACAATTGATATATAAAATATAAGATAATATTAATTAATATATAAAATACGATACATTATTCGTTCCAATTTCTACTTATAACTAGAAATGATAGTTTTGGAATCGAAACCGTAATAATCTAACATTAAATAAGTATACAATATATATAATTAATATATATATATATGGTACTAATATAATATTATATAGTCATTACTACATATTTTATGGTATAATATTTACATATGTATCTTTTTGATGGATACCAAATAAGGTATGTAATTAAATATGGTAAGAATATAGATAATTTTAAGGATTTTTAATTTTTAATTAGATGAAAAATAAAAGGTAGTTCATTTTTGATTGGTTATATTAACTGGTATAAGAATAAATATAAAATAATGCTAAAATAATAATATATTTTATTATTTTTG